CGTGCTGTCAAACCTACACTAGCAAGGAGATCGGGCTGAAACTATAGCTACAAGCTATCCAAGGATGGTACTATAGAATGTCACCTCAAGGTAGGCCTAGTGGCGTCATCTCTTGGTTAGGCCGGAAACTTATCAATCCACCCTCGTATATTTCTGCCAATATATTCATTGCATGTTCCAAATATTAAGCAGATGCGCTAAAGCTGAGCAGTCGTCCATACATACAAATGCATTTTATGCGTGATTCGACATACAAATGCACTCCGTTCTATTCAGTTTTCAAATAAAAAGTTTGACACTTTTTATCTTTTGCGAAATTAGTTCGAAAAGTGAACCGCAAACAAGATCTCCGAGTTGTTCAAGAAAACTATCAAATTACTTTGCTTGAACAGAAGTTGTAAAACATTTGTCTTAAGGCTTATGGAAGTTTGAAACTAATTGCAACAAATTATAAGGAAAGGAACTTATTCGAAGTTGAAATTTTGTAGCAAACAAATAATATGTACTTATAAAAAAACCTTTTAGTCAATGTTCGCGAAAAAATGCTTAGATTACTTTTATGCTGAAGTTTGTGTAGTGGGTAACTGTTAGGTATTTTCTTACAGCGAAAACTTATTCATTTCTTTGTATTAGGTCGTAGTTTTGTATATTCAGTCTTGGTTTAAGTCTTACAATTACTCTTGGTCTTGATATTATAAGACTAATTTTGTTCATGACTATGTAGCACCTGAGTGCACGTATTTAGTTCGAAAAGAAGTTTTACTTCTAAATTGTCTTGTTCTGCAGAGTGCAGCGTTAGTGGCAGTAACGAATGTGTCTGAATACCTGGACGAGACAGCAATAAGAAGAATGGTTCTTCCAAAGACGAAAATGGTTTACGAGAAAAATCAAGGCGACCTAAAGATTGTCTCGAACGTTTTGTCGTGTGTCGAAAAAATACTGGAACGTCTCGATAAAAGCCAAATAATAGACGATGTTCTTCCTCTTTTGTACGACGTTAGACTTTCGGATCCTCAAATTATCCTTCGAGTAGTAAGTAAGTGTATTTGAGCAGGAGAACCAAAAAGCCCTAATACTTTTTTTTAAACGAAGTCACCGGGGTGGCTGTTTCAAAGAGATTATTATAAACTAATTTTTCGCACAAAAACACTCGAATATAGAACCATTAACTCGAGTGACGTAGTAGACGTAAAAATTTTGAGTTATGTAAAATTGGTTGTGAAATTTGATAGAATTGTCATCTGAAATACCTTACATATATATACTTAGAGTGATACTTAGTTTGTATAAAGAGTAACAGGCAGTTATAGAGCTGGGAATGCAACGTAGAGAAGTAAATATTAGGAAGGGAGTCAGGCAGGGATGCACACTGTCACCGCTACTTTTTAATCTATACATCGAAGACGCCATCAACATCATTAAAGACAGTACAACTGTAGGGATAGATGTGCAAGGGCAAAAGATTAGTATGCTTAGATTTGCAGATGATATAGCAGTATTAGCATCTAGCAAGGAGGACCTAGAGATAGCTTTAAATAAAATGGAAGCG